TTTGTATAAATATATAGAATTGGTATTGAAAATGTGAAATTGGGCGGATGTTTATATAAATGGTGAAGTTGGATATGTATTATCACTCACCTACAAAATTTGGATAATTTGTTTGTCTTGGAGATTGTATATCTGTTTAAAAATATCTGTTTTGGACTATCAATTGAGGATAGCTATGATTGTTGTAGAAATTGCATGAGAATTAGGTGAATTTAAACTAACTTCTCATCCATTTGCATTGAGTGTCGTCACACCTTTAATTCATTATAAATGTATGATGTTTGGGATGAGAAAGGGGATGCACTCCATTGAATTGAGTTGGCCGAAGTGTCTAGAGTAAAAGTCCCCGTAAACCACGAGTATACATGGGTGCCGATTCCCGTGGACAAAATATTCGTAAAATGGAAAATAGAAGTGTTTGTATGATGACTGTATTGGTTAGAGATCCACTAAGTTGCATCCTCCGTTTGGTTGTCCAAATAAAATGTAATGACTCATGAATGGAGATAAAATGGATCAAGATATGAGTTTGACATACTATGATTTTGCAAAAGAGTTATAAATGATTTTATTACGGGCATTGTATTTGCGTATTACACTTATACCTTTATTAAGATTCATATATCGTACTAGATTATTTCTACTAGGCTTTGGCTCATCCTATTTGGGAAAACCATTTTCAGGTGCTAGTGGTATGCCTCTACCAATGACTAAGCTTGGGAGGACTGTTGAGCTGAAGTTTCAATTTTGTTATTTTTGTATTTAACTTTGTACAGCTAAGGGTTTTAACTATGTTGGACCTAAAGTCCACTTTTGTTGTAATCAAGAACTATCTTGGAAAATTATAAGCCTTTAGGGTATTTCTTATCTATTTAACTTTTATTCTTTTCTGTCATTTGCAACATATGCTATATATTCAGGACTAGGCATTATGAATATATACTGCATATGTTTCCTTTTTGTAATCCCAATTAGATTTGATAGAAGATAATTACTTTATTATTATAGTTGTTTATGAATGTGTGGATGGATTATGGTAATAATTTCGAGGCGTTACAATGGGTGAGTACTGGCAACTTGTTGGGATGAAACAAAATGAGTGACAGGTGGTTAGGATGAAGATGGGTATGTTGAAGTTTGTTGAGATGAAGCATTTCAGAACTGCAAGAAAAATACAAATTGAAATGCACAAAATGAAATAACTAAAATTGAAATGAATTTAGTTTGTATAGAAATAGTGCATTTACAATAAATTGAAATGTACCTTGCTTGGTTAACTTGCAGATTTCCTATAACTGGTGGTTGGTCCACCCATCCTCTCGAACATGGGGATTCTTTATGTACTAGACCCCTGCATAATCTTCTGTTGTGTCCAAAATCTATACACTTTGCATGCACTGTTTTGTTCTTTCTTGATAGCTTATGTAGATTCTTGGGCTCATCAACAGCTTTCTTCCTTTCTTTTCTGGGCCTCCCTGCTGGTTTTCTATAGTAAGGAGGGGCTATGGCATCATATCCAGTCTCAATCCAGTTATGTTTCCCTGGCACATGATCTATCATAAAAAAATATGTCCTTAAGTATGTCTCGTTGCTGAAGTAATTATGCACATAAGCTTCACGTTTCTCCCTATTATGGTATATACAACTTATGGCATGTTTACAAGGTATACCTGTTAGGTCCCAATCTCTACACCCACATGTTCTTGCCCTTAAATCCACTACATGAGTTATATCATAACAATCCACCTCAAACTTCAACTCACCTGCAAAGCTAACAAAGGAATTCCTAGCATCCTCTTTCTTTGACTCTAGTTTCTGCTGAACAGTTGGACAAATAGGGCCACCATATTTTTCCATTCCATTTTTCTTGACTTGTATTATGTTCATCAGTTTCCTCATAATCCACTCCACCATTGAGATAATTGGCTTATCTTTTGCTGGAAAAATGTATTTGTTGAAAGACTCAGTCAGATTATTCACTTGAATATCACACTTGGATCTTATGTTGAAGTAAGACCTAACCCATGTTTCAAGATTGTGTTGCATCAACCACTCATTTGGCTTGTTTTCTGTGTCCAATTCCCCCAACTTCTTCATGTTATAATCAAACTCCCTTTTTGTCCCAGCATATGCAACTTTCCACACCAACTCCTTTAACTCTCTTCCTTTGAACTTCTGTTTGAAGTTGGTACAGAAGTGCCTCAAGCAATACCTATGCTCAACATTAGGCAAAACCTTTTTAAAGGTGTGCACCAATCCTTTTTGTCTGTCTGAAATGAATGTCCAACTAATGTCAGTGCCGTCTCCTATGTCCTTTATTAATTAGGTCAGAAACCATATCCATGAATCCTTGCATTCAGCCTCCACTGCAGCAATGGCAATGGGAAACATATTGGCATTCCCATCAAGGCCAATGGCTGTTAAAAGTTGGCCTCCATATATGCCCTTCAAAAAACAATCATCTAACCCAACAATAGGCCTACAACCTTGGAGAAACCACTTTTCTTTGCATCTAGTCTGACATACAACCTCTTAAATATAGGTGTAAGTTGTCTGTTAGGCCTTTCTACCTGATCATCTGCTTAAACTATAGGTTTGTCCAATTTGATCACTAAACAACTGTTTGAATTATGATGTTTCACTATCTCACAATAGTCCCAAAGTCTAGCATGCTGCTTCCTCAGATCCCCTTCAATTGTTTCCTTTGCTTTCCTTTTTGCTCTATACACTTGACTCTTACTTACATCAACCATTAGTTCTCTATGAATGTCCTTTTGCAAGGCTGAGATATCTATATTAGGAGAATTCCTTAATCTTTCAAGGTATTTTTGTGATAAACTTGAGGTAACTATCTGGTTGTCATAAGTCCTACCACATGAATGAACTGGTTGTAAGCTTTTGATTTGGAATGTGCTTTTATTTGCATTGGGGATGCATGAATTCTAAAACCACACCCTTGTTTGCACACTGCAGTAATCCTCTTATTTTCATTTCTAACCCACTTCAAATCATACCCCTGTTGCACTTTTCATTCCTTCAATGCATTCCTAAAAACTTGTGCATTCTTAAATCTCATCTCCACTTTTAGGCCAGGTTTCACCATATCCACATCCTCATTAAATTCTAGAAACCTATCAAACCTTTCCTCATCATCTGATGATCCATACAAAGTATGTATCTCAAAATCCTAATCTGAATACCATTGATTAGAGCCCATATCATTTGGTTCATTTCCAACATTTGATTCAACTCCCAAGTTTGTCTCAACACCCACATTTGATTCTACCCCCATATCTTTATCAAGATAAGCAAATATATCTTCATCTTCACTCCCCTCTTAACCCATCATTTATCCACTCTGGATCTGTGCTATGACCACCATCAGAGTAATTCATTTCCTTATCACCCTCTCTTCTTCTTCTTCCATTTCAGGCCTATTTATCCCATCTTCTTCCAATTCTATTTGTGCTTCTGTTTGTGGAATTTGTGGCCCTTTTATCACTTTTCCATTTGGACCTAAGACCTGAAGTGCCTCATGACCTTTCTCTATATATAAGGCAACCACATTCAGACCCATATAATGGAATAACATATCAATTACATCTCTATCTAAATTCATCCCCCTAAGACCAATGTCCAATATTTCCCTAGGAACTCTATAATATAGTTGGCTAGTAGAACATCCTAGGCTCAAGTACAACTTCTAAAAATCAAAAAAACCCAACCCTATATGGATCAAAGTACTGAAAGTAATTTACTTTCCCTCCCTTATACACTATATTTGGAGGCTTAGTAAAGTAACCTTTATGATCTAACTCAACACTAAAGTTTGTTGCCATCACCTCACCCTAGATAATACAAGACACAAAAGATAAAAATAATACATACACAAATCAATGCCTGAACATTACAACACCACAAAAGAAAAACAGAAAAAATAATAATAATAAAATAAACAAATAAAATTTAGGCTTTAGGGTTAATAAACAAACATAAATCATCATACCCATTTTACTTGTCAAACATAGTATATGCAATAAAGAAGATAAAAATGTAATTAACCCAATAAACAGACATATTGTCTCCCAATACACAACAAACAGTTAGGGAACCACTATCAACCCCAAATCATTTGCCATTTTTACACAAAAATAAAATAAAAAACCCCAATTTATCATTCCAAATATACCTATCTTCATGTCGTGAAGTAAAAAAAAAAAAAAAAAAAAAAAAAAAAAAAAAAAAAAAATTAAAAAAAAAAAAAAAATTGATGAAATACTTACATCCCACAACTTTATTGATACACACAATACAAACTCTACCAAAATGCGAACAAAAAGGCAACAACCTTAACAAAAAGCTAACAAAAAGCCATCGTAAACAAAACCCTACCAATAAATCCTTTTTTTTAAAAAAAAAAAAAATTATTTGCAAACATCAAACATCAAAGAAGTAATTTTCCAAACATATTATACAATAAATTTAAAAAATCGTAATCAAATCTTCAAATACTCACAAAACATCAAACATTCAATAAATTTAGGATTCTTCGATTATTTCCTGGAGTAAAATTTTCAAAAGTAGATTCTTTATAGTCTCAATTGACTGTTATTGATTCGATTCGAAAATCCTTTCAAACCCTAACCCATGTGTATCTCTCTCTCTCAAAATCTTAATCAAGCAACTGAAGAGACTGTAGTATGTAAGCACTATAAATATCTAATGGTATTCTAGTCTTTTCAATAATTCTGTCACATTCCGTCACTTTTGCACATCCGTCAAAATCACAGGGGGTTATGAGTACATTTATAAACGTTAGAGATGTAATATATAAATGCATTAAATCATATGGAGGTTTAATTATTTATTTATTTTTTTTCATAATCCTTTAATCCCTGATAATAAATTTTTTTAATTTATTTATGTATTTATTTTTTTTTTAAAAAAAAACTTACCTTGTTGTGGCCCAATTGAGTTGCAGTTTCGCTTTCTCGCTCTCAGTTTTGTTTGTTTGTTGGATCATTCTGTTGTTTTCGGTTTTTCAGAGTTCCCAAGGAACCACAAACGCCATCTCTCTCTCTCTCTCGCTCTCTAACTCCATGGGAGCTCGTCGATCCTTGGCGTTTCGTTCATTGATCTCGGCGATCGTTCTTCTGCTTTTGACCTACAATGCTTACTCCTTCTACCTTCCTGGTGTCGCTCCCCAGGACTTTGACAAGGTCACTTCTCTCTCTCTCTCTCTCTCTCTCTCTCGTTTTGAATTCACTATGTGTCAGTATGGTCTAAGATTCCATATTCTGCGTTTTCTCTGCTATCTTTCTGTTTCGAGAATACTTGATCTGCATCTATTTCTCAGATCTCTGATGGTAATGATCTCACATCATCTCTATTGCTGTTGCATATGGCTTTTGATTGATGTGAAAAGTTGCTACTCTGGATTTAATTGCTACTCTGGATGTGAAAAGTTGCTACTCTGGATTTAATTGGAATATGCACTTGTTCAATTAATTTCTTAATGGGTTTTTTGTGTTCATGGAGTGCCAAAGTGTTGATCAGCTATTGTGTAATGTTTGTTTACAGGGCAGAGCCAGGATTTTTGTTGTCATAAAATATTACAAATAAAATAAAAACTAATTTTCAGTGGCCCAATTTCAAAATTTTAGTAAAAATGAAATTTGTCAACTGTCAATCCCCACTTGTCCCTTTCTAGATCCGTTCTTATTGTATGTATATCGTACGATTTAAAACTTGTGTAATTTCAAAGATAACTTAGGTGGTTAGAGCACAACCTTGACTCTTTTAGGGCTTGAACAACACAATATTGAACTCAATCTGGGTCTGGGAATCAATTTTTGAGGTTGAATTAAATTTGGGTTGAGCTTGGGCACAACTTGCGCAAGTCGACAACCCCAAGCCCAAATTCTACATATATATAATATTGAATATGCTTGTATCTATGTTCTGTAGGTTGTGCTCTTTTATTTTTTAAGGGGTAAAGATAATGTCAAATTAGTTAGAATCTTGTGCACTTTTCACATATAGTTATATATACTTAATATATTTTTATATATTTTGTACAAATTACTGTACATTTTTTACTTTTACATCAAGACTGATGCGTGGTCATTAGCATTTTCTATTTTGCCATAAAGATTTGTAGCAATTTGATGCGTGGTCATTAGCATTTTCTATTTTGCCATAAAGATTTGTAGCAATTTACTTGGGATGAGTTTGGTTAGATTTGCAAAAAAAATTATTTGCCATAGGATTTTTATAATTGAATTTGGTCCTTTTTACTGTTGGCTATTAAAAAACCAAAGGTTTAAAAGAAAAAAAAAAAAAAAAAAAAAAAAAAAAAGCATCTCCACAAAGCCCATACATAGAGTAATATAATAAAAGCCTAAAAAAATAAATTGATAACTTAAAAACATTGGTTAAAAAAATAACCTAGCCTAACTGGAAAAGAAAAATTAAAAAAATTCTCAGCCGAATATTTGTGGACAACTCGAGTCTAACCTAATTTCAATTTATTGAGCTCGTATTGGTCTTGGGCTGATAAGCTCGGATTGGAATGGTGGGCCTTGGTAACTCTCAACACAACTCGAGTTGGGCCTTGGCAATCCCTCAACCTCTGCTCCTGCTCAAGTTGCACCCCTAATGTCAAGTATTGGCATTGAAACAAGGCAATATCTTTTGTGATCTTTCGTATGGCAGATTGTGACTTGTGACTTTAACAAAGCGTTGTAGAGGTGCTATGAGAGATGATTACTAATGTATTCTGCATAAGGGGCTGAACTTAGACATGATTTCACTTATAAATACTTTTATGTTCCATAAACAATAATGTGAACACCAACACAAAAGAAAAGGAGCATCGTCACAACTTACAATATGTAAGATTTTATTTATCCAGTAAATTTTTCTAAATTTTAGGTTCTTGAGATAACAACTAATTTGTTTTAGTAAATTGTGGATGCATGCACCAAGCTAGGAAGGACAAGAAGACTAGGGTCCCATTTGAAAAAAACTTTATTTGAAGGTTATTTAGCTTAAAATTTTAAATTTCATGCTTATCCAGTTGTACTTTGAGAAGTTAGGGTTTGGGGAAAAAAAAAATCAGGGTTTTTGCTTTTTTTCCTTTTTCAGCTCAAAATAAGCGTAAAAAAATAACTTTTTGGAAGCTGGTTTTAAGATGGCTTTTTTAAGCATCAATTAAGTTTCGCCGAATACCTTCTCAACTAAGAAGCACGGACATGGACATGCACATGTGGCATGAAACGGACACGTTGACACGCTAATTTTTAAAAAATGCGAAACATGACACTTGGGGGATACGCATGAAATATTTAATTATATGTATATATTATATATCATAAGATAACTAAAAAAATGTAATATAACACTTAGTTGATAAATTTACATTATTTTTTCTTTTATTATTGTATTCTAAGTTATTTAGTTTAAATTTATAATTAGTTTTATGTGTGTAATCGGTAGATAAGTGTGTTTAAGCAATAGACACATGTGTCTTCTGAGTATCCAAAGGGTGTCCGGTTTTGAAAAACTTTTAAAAAATGCAACACGTTTTGACGAGTATTAGACACATGTCGGGAAGTGTCCAACAAGTGTTGGTGTTCGACACAGACAAGACACGGGTACGCCACCTTCTTAGAAGTGTCCGTATTTCTTAGCTTGTCAATCAAGCTTAATTTGTTGAACTTTATTGTGGAGTGGAATGGAATGGAATGTCTTACATATTTGATGTCAATCCAAGGTTTCAAAAAACGATTGCGGTCGTTGTAACTGTTGCGGTGGCAGCTATGCAGTTGCGGAGTGTAAAAACCGTAGCGTAACTGTTGCGATAACCGGAATAGTGAATTTTTTTATTTCACATAATTTGAAAAAAAGTTACTGATACACTTACTTTTATTTTAGAATCACATTTATTGGGGTTTAAAATAGATTTTTATCATTTTTTGTTAATTTTTAAGTATGATTTAATATATTTTATATTTTTAAATCACTATAAATGGAGCTTTCTATATTCTATTTCAATAGTTGATGACTTTATATGTCATAAATCCATATTGCATCTCTTATTTTTATTTATTTTGTTATTAATTGTTACTCCCTCCATCATATATTAATAGCCCTTTTTGAAAAATTATTTATCAAAAAAAAAACTTCCTTTTTGAAAATTCAAATTTTTTAAAGAAACATAATCATTACACTTTGAATTCAAATTTTAAAGGATTAATTTCAAAAATGCCCTTCTATTCTCATTTTAAATATATTTATAATTACTTTATAAGGGATAATTTTGGAAACTTTTAAATTTAAAGTTTTGATTTTTCAAAGTGGACATACATTTTGGGAGAATAAAAAATAGAATAATCGACCAATAAAATGGGACAAAGGGAGTATATAATATAGAGTTTGTGACGTATAATATTGTGTAAGCTTTTGATTTTTATTTTATTTTTTGAAAAGAATATGTGCAGAATGTGTAACTGTGTGTAAAGGCCCGTTATGGCCGTTACGGTACTGTTACGGTCTTTATATGACACCGTAACGGCCATTACATATGTGAATTTCCGTCACACCGCAAAAGCAGGTGTAACGAGTAGCGCCTACCCGCTGCAATCGTTGCGTAACGGCCCCAACCGTTACATAACACCTGCTGATAGGATGGGGTTAAACACTGGAAGTGTGGTTGCTGGGGGCAGCGGCACTGCACCTAGTTTGTTTATGAATGATATTTTTCCATTGAATTGAATTTATGTTAGTAATAAAACCATAATGTACTGAAGTGGATAGAGAGCGGGTAAGAGACTCTCAATACCAGTCAAATACAAGAGGAAATTATTTTACCTTATTGAAGGCTTTTCTCCTAATGAAAATGCAAATTTGGGAAGGCCCTAACCCTCTCCTTATCTCAAATTATTTTCTAGTAATTTTTCTTAACTCTCTCTCTCTTTGTGTGTGTGTGTATGCGCGCTTACATTTTCCTTCTTTTTTGGGAATTTGGGTTAGTATTCTCCTTCTTAAGTGTTGACAGGGTTTCTGTGCCCATGCTTGTGCCATGACTTCACTGTATATTAATGGATGCATCTTTATTCTTTGAAAAAAAACAATAAATTGCAAGTATGATCATGAATGAAAGAAACTTAGAATAACTGCTGTAAAGGCCTAGCAAGTACGAGAAAAGGCTCTGTAAACCTATAGTAAAAGGGTAGATCAGGATCCAATCATGTATGGTCCTGTTTCTCATTACTGTTCATTGTAAATGGCTGTTCTTTTATCAACCATATATTTATTTACTACAGGTTGTTTTAATCCAATAATTGCTCTTGTATTGCTTCACTACTGTCCCATCAAAAGGGATGTTTTAGCTGACCTAATTTATTAAGACATAGGAACTCCCCATGAATGAAGAGTGTGTGGGTGTCATGTTACATAGAAACTCTGTTTGTTGGATTATCTTTGATGATTTTCTTTCCTTTTTTTAAAAATTTATTTTAACCTATGGCTTTGTGTCCCATAGAATGTATGCGCGAAACTTTGGTTGTACTCATTGCTCAAAAAAGTTGCATTTTATGGGTCTTGTGGCTGTCTGATCAACCCATAACTGGTGTCTGTAGTAGGAAGTTTTTTTACTTGAAAACAGTGATGTCCAAACTGGGATCAGTTATCAACCGAAACAATGCTTTCCATTATGAATTCTATAATCGTGCTGTCTTCCATCATGGTTGGATTGGATCAGTCAATATAGCATGTATTTTGTTGATTGTGCCTGATGTCGGCTATCTCCTGCATTGAATCCTTGGTTTTTTTGCATTTATTTCTTTTATATGCATCAAGATTCAAGATGTTTGAGGCTCCATTTGGGACATTTACTAAAATTACGTTTGCTTGTCTCGGATGCAGGGTGATCTGTTGAATGTGAAAGTGAATAAATTGACCTCTACAAAGACTCAGCTTCCTTACTCGTATTATTCTCTTCCTTACTGTCATCCCGAAACCATAGTTGACAGCAGAGAGAATCTTGGGGAAGTACTGCGTGGTGATCGTATTGAAAACTCTGCTTATGTGGTCAGTTTGTTATTTATGTATCTATTAATCTTCTATACCATTATAAAGCGAAGGCTGTTGGTGGTGTTGACACAAATGTGTCTCATATTTTTAGTTTTTCCAAAATACCCCTATATTTGGAGTTTTTGTGAAAATTATGCAAAGAGGACGGGTCTCGAACTGTGACCGTGAGTTTAATAATAAAGGCTCTTATTGATGTGCATTTTTCTCTGTCATTATTCTTAGTGTTATTTTATTTATTTTTTATTTTTTTGAGTTGCACATATAGCACGTGTGTGGACTGCTAGTGTATATATATATATATGTTGAGGTCTGCCTAATTATTTTCTCATTATTTACACTTCTTTAGCTGAATCGTTTTGTGCAGTTTAAAATGAGGGAACCACAGATGTGCAAGATTGCCTGTCGGTTGACACTTGATGCCAAAACTGCAAAGGAGTTCAAAGAGAAGATTGAAGATGAGTATCGGGTCAACATGTAGGGTACTCTTATATATGGCCATTTACTTTATCCGCTAATTTCCATGATAATGTTGGATCATGTATCCTTAACAAATCTACAATGTATTTGACAGGATACTGGATAACCTTCCTCTAGTGGTTCCCATACAAAGGCTTGATCAGGAATCTCCACCAGTATATCAGTTGGGATTTCACGTTGGGCTTAAAGGGCAATATACTGGAGTAAGTACATCAAATTTAAGCATAACAGGCTTGAGGTGTGGTTGATGCACTTCTTTTTTTATTTTTATTTTTTTTTGTGCTTATGTTTTTCTGTTAACTATGAAGAGCAAGGATGAAAAAAATTTCATACACAACCATTTGAAATTTACTGTCAAGTATCATAGAGACATGCAGACAGACTTAGCAAGGATTGTGGGCTTTGAAGTCAAACCATTCAGGTTGGTTCCTGTCAGGCCCTTTGTTTCTTATTACTTTACTGATTCTCTTTGTTGTAGGAACTTATGGTGATGTGATATCTGCTTCTTGATGTATCCAGTGTCAAACATGAATATGAAGGAAAGTGGACTGAGAATACTCATTTAACCACTTGTGATCCACAAGCAAAACAAATGGTCTCTAACAACAACGCTCCCCAACAAGTTGAAGAGAAACAAGAAATTATATTCACATATGATGTTGAGTTCCAGGTGATTTACTCTTCCAAATAATAGAATTTTTTGCTGGTGACAGTTTCTTATAGGATTTACTGGTCATTTCTAATCAGGGACCATTTTTGGGTACTCAATTACAGTTGATTTACAAATCATGAATTTTATTGGATACTGTGTGTTCTCTCTCATGCAAAGTTGTGTTAGGGTGAGTTTGTTGCCTTTCCTAGAGTAAGGTGGTTATTTACTCTTATAATCATCATGTCTGCCTTACAGGAGAGTGATGTCAAGTGGGCATCCAGATGGGACACCTATCTTCTAATGAGTGATGACCAAATACACTGGTTCTCAATTGTGAATTCCTTGATGATTGTTCTCTTTCTCTCGGGCATGGTGGCTATGATAATGCTACGGACACTTTATCGTGACATCTCCAAGTACAACGAACTTGAGACCCAAGAGGAGGCCCAAGAAGAAACAGGATGGAAACTAGTCCACGGCGATGTTTTCCGGCCCCCAAATAACTCAGAATTGCTGTGTGTCTGTGCTGGAACAGGTGTTCAGTTCTTCGGAATGATTCTTGTTACCATGATCTTTGCGGTCCTTGGGTTCCTCTCACCTTCAAATCGGGGTGGACTCATGACAGCCATGCTCATGCTCTGGGTTTTCATGGGACTGTTTGCTGGTTATGCCTCTGCTCGTTTGTACAAGATGTTTAAAGGATCAGAATGGAAGAAAATCGCTCTCAGGACTGCTTTTTTGTTCCCAGCCACTGTCTTTGTCATTTTCTTCGTCTTAAATGCGCTCATCTGGGGTCAGAAATCTTCAGGGGCTGTGCCATTTGGGACAATGTTTGCTCTGGTCTTCTTGTGGTTTGGGATTTCAGTCCCGCTTGTGTTTGTGGGCAGCTATGTCGGGTTCAGGAAACCAGCAATTGAAGATCCAGTGAAGACAAACAAAATCCCAAGGCAGATCCCTGAGCAAGCATGGTACATGAACCCAATCTTCTCAATTCTAATTGGAGGAATTCTCCCATTTGGAGCTGTGTTCATTGAACTCTTCTTCATCCTCACCTCGATCTGGCTGAATCAGTTTTACTACATCTTCGGCTTCCTCTTCATAGTCTTTATCATCCTCATCATCACCTGTGCTGAAATAACCATCGTGCTTTGTTACTTCCAGTTGTGCAGCGAAGATTACCTGTGGTGGTGGAGGTCATACTTGACATCAGGCTCCTCAGCTCTGTACCTTTTCCTTTATGCTGCTTTCTATTTCTTCACCAAGCTTGAAATTACAAAACCGGTTTCTGGGGCATTGTACTTTGGATACATGCTGATTGGTTCATATGCATTCTTCGTGTTGACCGGTACCATCGGTTTCTACGCATGCTTCTGGTTCACAAGGCTCATTTACTCATCAGTGAAGATTGATTGATTGACCGATTGATTGATTGCATGCAAATGATTCGTGGACTATTATTCCTTCTCCGTTCAGGGACGTACATGCCATATTATTAGGTTGAGGTTCAAAATTAAGTGTTGGTGGGCTTTTTTTTTTTTGTGCCCAATTGTGAACATTGATGGTCATTATTCCATTGTTGTAGTATCTCCTTCACTATTTTGTAAAACAAATGCAGGAGGTTTACAAAGCTTGTGATTCCTTTCTTTTTAGATTCTTTCATATATTTCTTGGCCAGCCATGTGACTATCTAACTAGAAAATTGAAATCCAATTGGTCATTTTCCCATTTGGCTCTTAAGGTTTTTACTTATTTTATTTTTTCTATTTTAACTTTTTATGTTTGAAGTTTTTTTCAATTTATTCTTAAAACTAATTTATGTTCAAAATAAGACAAAAAATGTAACGTTAGTTGTCATATGATAATAAACATAAATTATGATATTAAATTTTAGGTTTGTATTAGAGTTATTTATAATGTAAATTTTAAGAGATCATGTATCCTAAATCTTTGTCATACCAAGGGGAAAAAGATGAATGAGAGAGATAGGTTATGTGCATTAGATCAAATGGATTGCAAAACTAATTTCTCAGTTGAGATTGATTGCACACTTTTTTTAAGTCATTATTTTATATGTTAATGGTGCCTTGGATAGCTAATAGAATCCCCTTTTCCCCACCTTCACTTACGATAGGTTTGAAGGGAGACTGGTTAAGATTCTCTACATAGCCTTTACTGTTTCCTCAACAATCCCATCCCCAACTCTCTCCTCTTACGAGGAAAAGGGCTTTTTTAAATAACCAAAATAAAATTTAAGCAAAAGTTGGAGAATGAAAAGCATAATTTTATTTATAATGTTACTCTTGTAATATCTTTAAAATGTGCTGACTTGAGTATTTTTGACGAGAGGTTGTTGCAATTTGAATGAGTGACTAAAATGAAATTCATGTGAAAATTAAAGATGAAAAATATATAAATTACCTTAGTTTTATGTTTTTCTTTTTTAATCTATAATTTAATAAAGTGAAAACAAATTTGAAAGCCAAAACCTAACCTTCCAAATGTACTAATTTATATTACATGGAAACCCTTTTTCTTTTTACTTTATGAGTATTCGTTTTCTAATTGCCCTCACTCTTCCACACCACAAATTTAATTTAATGTAATTTATATTGTAATTCAAAGGGGCTTGATACCAATTAAATTTCGTTTCCATTAAATTTAAGGATAAATTACAATTACATCCTTTGAATTTTTTTTTAAATACCAATTTTCTTCTCACATTTTAAAAATTACAAATATTTCAATTATTAGAATTTTCTCTACCACTAACCTAACAGGCAATCAAATTACTCAAATACTCTCTAATACCTAATACCAAAATGAAACTATCATACTATCCTCATTTTTATCCACCCACTATCAAATCTCTCTTTCTACACCACTAAAGTGTTTAATTTCTTAAAGTTTAATATAGGTATTTCTGAAGAAAAAAATTTATTACTTGCATCTTACATTATAGCATCTTCAATTAGGCATTTTACCCATCTAAAAGTTACTATAATGTATTTTTTTTTATGTTGCCTGCTCACTTTTTTATATTTTCACTCCAATTATACTTTTTATTTTAGCTATTTATCAAAATACTACTCACTTTATGAAATGGCATATCAACAACAAAGACGGAGAAAAAGGATCATACAGGTCAAATAGCTTTTGCCTAACCTTTGAAGGATAACTATATTTATCTAATGAATGTGAGTTGAGTCAAAATGTCTAATCATATATATGGTGTATTGGAATTGAAAAAAATAAATTATAGCAGGCATTTTAACTAACATCCATTACATACCTAGTGGGTTAAAGATACTCTCATATACTCTATTAGTTTGACATAACGATTGATTAACGAAGAGGGTCATTTGTTATGTGATTAAAAA